CCTTCGAGTTTGACGCATGAGGTTCCGACAGCCACGAACTAATTATCTGCATGCCGATGACGGGCACGACTTTTGAGACCTGATCGAGAATTGTACAAAAGACCACAAACCGAACAGAAGATGGTATTGTATCCAAGTGCAAAAGGAACACTTTTAGATATCGTATTTTGCTTTCTCGTTTCATGTAGTCGACTGGGGGTTACTTCTCAGTGCAGTTATATCAATGTTGCACTTTAGCTCCAATACGATCTGAGCTGTTTTATTTGCTGGTGCCGAGTTGTTTTCCCCTATATATATATATATATATATGAGAGAGGTGAGGAGCAGAACACTGGAACCGTATTCAGTACAAGTCAAGTTATATGGTCCTTACTGAAGTGTGCGTGTGTGACGTCATGTAAACATAATTCACTGCCTTGCAGTCAGGTAAATTTAAATCCATTTTTAATTCCTTCCCTTTCAGTACTATGTGTTTAATTTTTGCATTTAAGCCACATTTGTTTATTAAAATAGCTTGTTCCATTATTTGTTACCGCCAAATAATTGAACCGACTGTTTGTTCATTAAAGTAATTTATTATTTCAAATCACTTAATTTGATTGTTCGTCCCTCATTACTGCAAAGCTGGGGGCTTGTCCAGGTGTTTTTTATTACTGCGATACGCTGTTGCGAATTCTTCGCGTGTTTTAGTGACGTCACACACATTTCTGCACAGACCACAGTCCATAATTTATTTGCCTTTCTCTTTTCATTGCAAGAAGCAGCCGGCGAAGGAAATGCTAATTTTCCTAAACAAAAATCTCAAACTTGTATCTTGTAGAGAGAAGGTAAGAAATTGCCTATAATGAACACCAATTCAAGCTTTGTTTTTCGTTAATGAGTTCCATAAATGAGAAATGAGTAATTAAAGCAATGGAGAAAATATCAAAAAACATTTTGGTTATTGTAGTTATTTTCTAAGCGTAGCTTAGATGTGGCACAGGGCCGAAAGTATGGGGCACCCAGTGAGGATCGAACTCACTACACAGTCGTAATTGTTCTAGCGAGAAAATCTTGCTAACCATTACACACGCCGAGGTGCCTACATTTTGGTTATTGTAAGTAAAAAAAAAAAAAATGTGCTTTAACTCTTATCTTTTGGTTCTCGGCAAACATCCAAAACGTAGCTTATAAAAAATATGGTTTATTTAACTATTATACAATTCGTTAGTAATACTGCGAGGAAACACTAGTAATAAAAGTTGAATGAAGAACAGATTTAATCACACGTGAAACATGGATTAATAATCGAGAATACTGTAGTTCAGTGAGGCAATGCGTGCGACTCAAACGCTACGCCTTACGACGATCGTTCCTATGAGCAGACGTTCTACTTATAGAGGATGGACGAGTCCATATTGACCAATTAATGTAGATAAAGGTCGGTCGTCTTTCTGCACAACAAACAGAGAAATACGAGACTTGCAGTATAGAAAATCTATATACTTACTTTAAGGGTCGTGTGTATGTAAAGAGAGAAAAGGAAGAGAAATAGAGAGAGAGAAAAGGAAGAGAGAGAGAGAGAAAGAAGAGAGAGAGAGAAAAGGAAGAGAGAGAGAGGGAAGGGAAGAGAGAGAGAGAGAAAAGGGAAGAGAGAGAGAGAGAGAGAAGAGAGAGAGAGAGAAAGGAAGAGAGAGAAAAAGGAGAGAGAAAGAGAGAGAGAGAAAAGGAAGAGAGAGAGAAAGGAAGAGAGAGAAGAGAAAGAGAGAGAGAGGGTGAGAGAAAGAGAGAGAGAAAAGGAAGAGAGAGAGAAAAGGAAGAGAGAGAGAAAAGGAAGAGAGAGAGAAAAGGAAGAGAGAGAGAGAGAGAGAGAAAAGGAAGAAAAGAGAGAAAAGGAAGAAAAGGAAGAAAAAGAGAGAGAGAAAAAGAAGAGAAAAGGAAGAGAGAGAGAGAAGAGAGAGAGAGAGAGAAAAGGAAGAGAGAGAGAGAAAAGGAAGAGAAAGAGAGAGAAAAGGAAGAGAAAGAGAGAGAGAAAAGGAAGAGAAAGAGAGAGAGAAAAGGAAGAGAAAGAGAGAGAGAAAAGGAAAAGAGAGAGAGAAAAGGAAAAGAGAGAGAGAAAAGGAGGAGAGAGAGAGAGAGAGTTACTGATACTCAAAGCATCAAACAAAATGATTTTTATTTTTTAGTACGGTATGAACAAAGCCTGAAATAAAAATGGAAGACACAAATAACAGCAGAAACAACAAAAACACTGTAACTAAGAGAGAGGTTAAATCAATTTGTCGTTCTTAGAATACTAAAAATGCCACTTGGCTCAGGAAATGAATTTATTACATGCAAATAAAGCTGTAAAGATTGGCGATTAAAAAGAATATTTCACTCGACAAATGCTTAGTTTGTATTATTAGAACCACTTGGCTGAACCAAGACAGCAATGGAATAATATGAAGAGATACGAGAACTCCGTGTTACTTGTGCAATGCTATATTTATATAGAAATCTGAGAATTATGGTAAGAGGTTTATAAAACTAAGTTGTCCACGTTGCCAAGTAAGTCATATCCCACAATGAGAAGAATAAAGAAAAAGGGCTTGAAAAAAAAGCTTCCTGCTGAAACTTAATTAAGGTAAAGTGCTTTAAGGATCTTTAAACTAAAATGATTAAATATGCTTGCTTGGAGTGAAATGATTAAAAAAAAAATCTGGTTTTACTTGTTCCAAGTCAAATCTTATAAATTCCCTTTCATTGGCCTAAACAAATGCAGGAAACAGACCTTAGAAATATCTGTTTGAAATATTGTCTTCTGCCTTTTTATGCCATACAAGCAAGTACTTAAACAAAAAAAATGAGCATGCTACTACTTACAGACGCCTCATCTGTCAATTTTCTCATTACAAGGTTTAAATCTCATTTATTCTTGTCTGGCGAAGAATTTCCTAAGCGATTGAATACACACTCTGGGGGGAAAATGGCATGCAGTTTAGATGCAGTAAATGATGCAAGATTAAAGAATGGAGAAACATAGAAGTTCATTCTATCACTGGTCGCAGACAGTAGTATCTGCTAGTAGTGGTGGCATCTAGCGTCAGTTCTTATGAAATGCATGTGAAAGAGATGAATGAATTTTTCCATCGAGTTTTGATTGTGCCAGAGATAAAATCTTCAATTAAAGGGAATCGACTTGATTTTGAAGTAATTTACAAGCAACTAGAATTTTAACACAATATGTTGAACATTCATTTCTAAAAATATTGAATTAATTTTTAACCGTGTGCGGGTATGTAACACGTAATATCACAGGTTGGATTTATTAAACAAATACGTTAAATTATTTACACTATTTACATGTGCACTATTTTCTTCATATTTGTTGTCGCAAAGTTTTGGCCGTTATTATATAATATATTATGTAATGTATTATATAATATAATATATTATATAATATAATAAATTATGTAATAAATTATATAATATTATATGTTACATAATATATATTATGTAATATATAATATATATCAAAAGGAAAGTATTCATTGTTTGTAAACATTCATTATTCTTATTTTTTCTTTGTTTACTATATTATTTGTTACGTGATTATTCATTTACAATATTTAATATATGTATCTTTTATGCATATTTTTTATATCTTTTAGTCGGGTTATACACCGATTTTCTTTTTTTTTTTTTATTTTTTTAAAATAATTGTTGTTTGCCAAGTGTAATTTATTAAGTATATCTCGCTAAGAGTTATATATATATATATATATATATATATATACACACACACATAGTAACGGATATAAGAGATTTTCTTTGGTCCCAAATTAGAGCCTGTGTTAATGTATATATAATGGACCAAACCCGGATATAAGAGACGACTTCTCCGGTCCCGACAACTCTCTTATATCCGGGTTACACTATATATATATATATATATATATATATATATATATATATATATATATAAGAACATTTAATGTATTCTATTTGTTAAATTAATTATATAGTGGCATGAATAAATCTAACCTATTTAAGCGTAACATTTATTCCTCTGTTTTTTTACGAAAGTGATAATTTTCGAAATTAGAGGAAAGCATTTTTGTAATATTTATTTTGTTTATCTTTAACTAGTGGCTCATTATCGCCGATTTCTTTTTCTGTTATTATTTATATTCAAAGGTTCTTTTAATAACATTTGGTGTGAATTTTATTCCTTTACATTTTCTTATGTAAAGTAACGTACTTTCAATTTTGTTGGAAAAGCACTCCCAGTTATAACGTTATTTTGATTCGTTTATTGCTAGTCAAATTGTTTTATTATTCATCTTTCAACTATTTTAAAAACAGCAACAACAACAATAATAATGATTATAATAAAAAATATTCTCATATTTTTGATAATAATTTTATACTTTTTATTATTTTTTTTAAGTATAGGAATATATTGGCACATTGATTACGGTCTGTTTACTCCGACATCCAATGTAATGTTTACACATTATATATATATATATATATATATATATATATATATATGTGTGTGTGTGTGTATGTTTTATGCGTGTAAGGGGCAGTGGGTAGAAGTAGTACTGTTGTTGCTCGGCTACTGCACCTTATTATTAATATGGACGGGCAACACTGGTCTTCACCTATCCCCTGAATCTCCACGCGTCACACCCTGTAAACCGCTTCAGTAGGCGGGCTAAATCACGTCAATTTACCATCGAAACGCGCTGCACTCTTCTTTGCACTGGTAGTACCGGAGAGGTATAACTCCATGATAATAAAACTTGATGGGTGTTGTTCATGTTGTTCGTGGTAAATATTTGCACCAACTCCTTGTTATCAGACCTTCTACTAAGTGTGGCTGGTTCGACACAAAACTTCACCATTCTAAACAAATTTTCTGTGTGGATATTCTTCAGTTAACTTCTGCGTTCCTTCTTTGCTATTCCACCTGAGCAACATATGCACTGGAGAGAGAGAGAGAGAGAGTTAAGGCGACGGGGACTCGTAGACATGTTAATCTCGGGTCTTGGAATGTAAGAACCCTCTAAGACAACGATTCTTCTCTAGAGCGTAAAACAGCTCTCATCGCTGATGCACTCTGCTCTCAGTGAGACTAGTCTTGCTGGCACCTCTCAACTTGATGAAGTTAGTGCAGTATATGCCTTTTTCTGGAGTGGCAAAAGCAAAGATCCCCGCCTATCAGGTGTAGGCTTTGCCATAAAATCAGACATTGTTAAATACCTGTCATCTCGTCCGAAAGGAATAAATGATGGCATTATGATTAGTCTTAGAAATCGTAAAGAATTCTTCTGCCACTCTTGTGAGCTCTTATGCCCTATGAACACCCCTGTGTCGGAAATTGATGACTTTTAGGATCAACTACGTTCAAGTCAAACTTGTCCTTAAGGGAGACTTTAATGCACGGGTTGGTGCTGACCATCAGACATGGCCTGGTGTTCTTGGCACTCACGAGGTCGGGAGTATAAAGGCTAAATGGGCTAGAATTTCTTTCTCTCTGCCAAGAATTCGATCTCACCATCACACGTTATCAGCAGTCTAATCATCACAAAACGACTTGAATGCATCCCAGATCCAGAAATTTGCATATGATTGATTACATTATCACCAAGAAACGTGATGCGAAAGACTTTAATATCACTCTCTTTTCACAACACTTGCTATCTTTCAGGCCATGCTTTACTACGAAACAAAGCAGCAATTCGACTCGTACACAAGAAAGCTCTCGTTATCACTACGGTTCCTAAACGAATCAACATCTCACCCCTGAATTCTAATGTTTACTTAACATTAGAACTCTCTGGCCCACTGGATTCGAGGCTTGATTCAGTTGTGATCTCAGAAGACATTGAATCTTCCTGGAAATCTCTCAGATATGCCATTTATTCCAGCTCCCTTGAAGTTCTAGGACATCCCATCAGGAAACATCAGGATTGTTCGATGTAAATGATGCTCACGTTCAACGTCTCATCAAGAAGATGCACGATTCGCACAAAATATTCATAAACAACAAATTGTCCACAAAAAAGCACATATATAAACAGTGTAAGCGGGAAGTGCAAAATGCTCCCAGAAAAATGAAAGTCCTGATGGTCTGTTAAGGCTGTGCAAATCCAGCTGACAGAAAAAAACTCAAAGCATTCTATGATTCCTTAAAAAGGTGTACGGCCCACAAGGAAATAGAATTTCACCTGTTTTGCGGTCTGACGGTAACACCCTCCACACAGACAAAAAAAAAATATTACGATGGAAAGAACACTTTGAAAGTATCCTTAATACCACCTCTGCCATTGATGACAACGTCATTGCTTTAATTCATCAGTGACCAGAAATTCCCCAGTTGTCTCTTGAGCCACGCCTAAAGGAAATCCCGGATTCTATCAAGCAATTGTCCTCAAACAAAGTTCCTGGAAAAGATGCTACTCCCCACGAAAGTTTTAAATATGGTTGGAAGACGCTGGTTAAGAAATTCCTTGGACTTTTTAAAGTCATATGAAAGGTTGGTTCTGTTACACAGGATTACAAAGATACTGGCATAAAACACCTCTTCATGAACAATAGCAAAATGGTTGACAAAAAGTTGCGGACTCTAACCATTAATGTCTTGAAGCAAAATCGCTGAAACGAGCAAGCATTATTCGTGATCGTTTGTTTGTTGATGACGCTGCGATCGTGGTCACCTCAATGGAAGAAGCTCAAGCACGCGTCAATCGTATTTTCGCCGCCCAGATCAACTATAAGCATAAAGAAAACTGGAGTTATCCATCAACCAAGGCCTGCGTCTAAGGTCAAGGGTGTAGAACAAAAAACACTTGCCCATGCATTTCCAATCGTTCTCATTATTGTTGGCAACAACAACCTGAAGTATGTGAAATCATTCACGTACTTAGGAAGTAAAGTCACTTCAAGTGGCTCTTTGAAGATAGTTAACCGAATGTAAAAGGCAACCAATACCTCCAGGAAACTTAAAAAATGAAAATCAATGTCTATCGAGCAGTCATTCTTACCACACTTCTTTATGGGTCAGAATCGTGGACGCCATACAGGACACACATCAATCATCTTGACGCTTTTCACAAACGCTGTCTTCGTTCAACATGCAGTTATACACGGCTGGACAAAATCTCTCGCCCTGATTATTTCATCAAATGTGGCGTTGGTGGTATCGAATCCTTTCTTATGCAATCACAGTTCAGATGGGCTGGTCATGTCATCAGAATGAGTAATGATCGGATGCCAAAAATCTTCATGTAGAACCAACTTTTTCATGGTAAGTGTAATGTAGGCCATCCTTGGTTACGTTTCAAAGACAAACTTCAATACAATTTAAATGGTACAAACATCCCTACAGAGGGAGTTCAAACTCGCTGTTGAAATCCGAGCTAACTGGAGAAACATCTGACAACAAGAAAAGAATCGTCTTAACCAGCCGAGGTAATAAAGAATGAACACTAAAACTCGGGCTATACATCAGCCCATATGACGATCAACCTATCAGCATTCGTGTAGACTTGTTTCCAAATACCTTGCTTGATTGTTGTCTCGTAAACAAAAAAAAAAAAAACTGAACCGAAAAACGACGAGAGTGTTCAACATTATTTCATGCTTATTATAAAACCCAGGTTGTGTGCGTGTGCGTTTATATATTGGAACGGATTTCCTACATTTTTCAACCGATTTCAACAAAACTTAACAGGACTACAAAATTACCTCGCAGTGGTTCTGACAGTGCCAAAAATTGGAAAAAAACAATTGTTTTTGCACGAAATCAATTTGAAAACACGATTAAGAGGCATCGCTGGTTTAAGAATGAAAGGGGGACAACTCATATCGAGTTATACTTATTATAAAACCCAGGTTGTTTGTGAGTATGTGTCCGTTTATATATGGGATCGGATTTCCTACATTTTTCAACCGATTTCAACAAAACTTCACTTTTTTTTTGGCAGGTAGTGTTTCTTATTGTCTTGCACACTTTTTTCTTTATTTTTACAAGACAATTGTTTATAATAAAATTGAAAAATTCTATTCAATCGGTAGACTCATAACGATTGAAAACAATGTTTTTGTTTGAGTTTGGGTTTGACCAATTCGTAAAAAAAAAACGAACTAATTAAGACATGCGTGTCCGTCAACCTTAAACAATAATCTTTGTCAATTTTATTTTTCAGTCTTTATGATGGTCGATACTTGATCTATCTCTTACTGTTATATCCCGGGGCTCTACTGCTAGTATGTATTAAAACCTCCTGTTATTTGCGTTTGACTTTGCTTTGTTTTTACACCTACTTGCCAAAATCCTTGACTTCGGCAATGAGATAAATTTCCAACAGGTTAACCCCAGAAAGAATTTGCATTTGGTTTTGAGCATTCATTGAAAGCGTAACTTTAGTCAGCAGCTAAATAATTTATGCTCTTACATAAATCACTTGGTTACTTTTTCGCCAACTAATTTCTTAAAGGACGTTATCTTTTATATATAAAACAAGGTTACTTTTAAATTTTCTTGTAGATACCTAATGTAAGGCGGGGGGGGTCAATATGCAATAACTGGTTGGTCTTAATCAAAAGTGGTGTCGGAAAATCCTATAATTTTTTTATTTTTTTTATTTAATTTTTATATAAATTTCACTTACGATTTTTTCAAAAGGGACGTGCAAATATTATTTAGTCACATTTTTAATATTTATATTTTTATTCGTACTGACAAGATATTATATTTAATTTATTTACTAATTGAGTACATAGATGGTAATGTCAAAATTAATATATTAGAATCATGTATTCATAAACTATTTATTTATAATCAGATATAAATGTTAGTTTCATTTTATAAAATTAGCTATTACTTAAGGAAAAAATTTGGCAATGTCTACAAAATATTATTTCAATTTCCATTTTATTGTTGGTGTTTTATTGGTTTCTTTTAAATGCCAGAAATATTTAGATATGGATGTCTGGTTGCGATATTTAGTATTATTGAAGAAAGTTTGGTGCCACCTTAATTTAAATTCATTCTTTGTGCATCTTACATAAAAAAGTGAAGTTTTGTTGAAATCAGTTGAAAAATGTAAGAAATCCGATCCCATATATAAACGAACACACACACACAACCTGGGTTTTATAATAATTATAACACGATATGAGTTGTCTCCCTTTCATTCTCGAGATGCCTCTTAATCGTGTTTTCAAATTGATTTCGTGCAAAAACAATTGTGTTTTTCTGATTTCTGGCGCTGTCAGAACCACCGCAAGGTAATTTTACGTAGTCCTGTGAAGTTTTGTTGAAATCGGTTGAAAAATGTAGGAAATCCGATCCAATATATAAACGTACAGACACACACACACACACACAACCTGAGTTTTTATAATAAGTATGATGTACATTATCAGCATGCAATAAATGTGTAGATCTGCGCCTGCTTGCCAAGACAACAGTTGTTCTGAGCAAGGTATATGGGATCCTTCAAATCTTAAGATGCTAAAGAAATGATGGTATGGATTGGCACTTCAAGAGAGTTGGGAGCATTTTTCAATGATGTTCATCTTGTACAAGGCCTAAGTGCCACTTGAGATAGAGGGATATAGAGTAAAAGGCACAGTTTATGTGTATGGAAGATAACGGTTAACCTTAGACTTGAACAGGTTAAGATTGTAGTGACAAGGGAAGAATCCTCAAAACAGAGGTTCATGGAAAGAAGCTGTTCGAGTGGATCTTACATATCACCAAGGGAATGAGGGTGGTTCGCTACAGTGTGCTTGGCATGTCGGGTTTTGGCCGTGAAGTTTATAACTGGTGGAACTAAAGAATGTAGTTCAAATGAACACTTTCCATGGAAATAGTGATAAAGCAGCGAGAGGTTGGCAACGTTCTGTCTTTGTGAAAGTGGGTGGTAGAATGGAAAATTATTTGGCTATTAGATTTCTTTCACAGGAATATGTAATTTGGCCCAAAGCAATTACTTTTTTTCTTTGATTTTAGCTTCATGTACAT